CAGGTGTGTTGTGAGCCGGCAGGTGTGTTGTGAGTCGGCAGGTGTGTTGTGAGTCGGCAGGTGTGTTGTGAGTCGGCAGGTGTGTTGTGAGCCGGCAGGTGTGTTGTGAGTCGGCAGGTGTGTTGTGAGTCGGCAGGTGTGTTGTGAGTCGGCAGGTGTGTTGTGAGTCGGCAGGTGTGTTGTGAGTCGGCAGGTGTGTTGTGAGTCGGCAGGTGTGTTGTGAGTCGGCAGGTGTGTTGTGAGTCCGGCCAGGTTGTGTTGTGAGTCGGCAGGTGTGTTGTGAGTCGGCAGGTGTGTTGTGAGCAGGTGTGTTTTGAGCCGGCAGGTGGTGTTGTGAGCCGGCAGGTGTGTTGTGAGTCGGCAGGTGTGTGTGAGTGAGTTGTGTGAGTCGGCAGGTGTGTTGTGAGTCGGCAGGTGTGTGTTGAGTCGGCAGGTGAGTCGGCAGGTGTGTTGTGAGTCGGCAGGTGTGTTGTGAGTCGGCAGGTGTGTTGTGAGTCGGCAGGTGTGTTGTGAGTCGGCAGGTGTGTTGTGAGTCGGCAGGTGTGTTGTGAGTCGGCAGGTGTGTTGTGAGTCGGCAGGTGTGTTGTGAGTCGGCAGGTGTGTTGTGAGCCGGCAGGTGTGTTGTGAGTCGGCAGGTGTGTTGTGAGCCGGCAGGTGTGTTGTGAGTCGGCAGGTGTGTTGTGAGTCGGCAGGTGTGTTGTGAGCCGGCAGGTGTGTTGTGAGTCGGCAGGTGTGTTGTGAGTCGGCAGGTGTGTTGTGAGTCGGCAGGTGTGTTGTGAGTCGGCAGGTGTGTTGTGAGTCGGCAGGGTGTTGTGGGTTCGGTGTTGTGAAGCCGGCAGGTGTGTTGTGAGTCGGCAGATGTGTTGTGAGCCGGCAGGTGTGTTGTGAGCCGGCAGGTGTGTTGTGGAGCCGGCAGGTGTGTTGTGAGCCGGCAGGTGTGTTGTGAGCCGGCAGGTGTGTTGTGAGTCGGCAGGATGTGTTGTGAGCAGGTGTGTTTTGAGCCGGCAGGTGTGTTGTGAGCCGGCAGGTGTGTTGTGAGTCGGCAGGTGTGTTTTTGAGCCGGCAGGTGTGTTGTGAGGCCGGCAGGTGTGTTGTGAGTCGGCAGGTGTGTTGTGAGTCGGCAGGTGTGTGTGTGAGTCGGCAGGTGTGTTGTGAGCCGGCAGGTGTGTTGTGAGTCGGCAGGTGTGTTGTGAGTCGGCAGGTGTGTTGTGAGTCGGGCAGGTGTGTTGTGAGTCGGCAGGTGTGTTGTGAGTCGGCAGGTGTGTTGTGAGTCGGCAGGTGTGTTGTGAGCCGGCAGGTGTGCTAGCAGGTGTGTTGTGAGCCGGCAGGTGTGTTGTGAGCCGGCAGGTGTGTTGTGAGCCGGCAGGTGTGTTGTGAGCCGGCAGGTGTGTTGTGAGTCGGCAGGTGTGTTGTGAGCAGGTGTGTTTTGAGCCGGCAGGTGTGTTGTGAGCCGGCAGGTGTGTTGTGAGTCGGCAGGTGTGTTTTGAGTCGGCAGGTGTGTTGTGAGCCGGCAGGTGTGTTGTGAGCCGGCAGGTGTGTTGTGAGTCGGCAGGTGTGTTGTGAGTCGGCAGGTGTGTTGTGAGTCGGCAGGTGTGTTGTGAGCCGGCAGGTGTGTTGTGAGTCGGCAGGTGTGTTGTGAGTCGGCAGGTGTGTTGTGAGTCGGCAGGTGTGTTGTGAGTCGGCAGGTGTGTTGTGAGTCGGCAGGTGTGTTGTGAGTCGGCAGGTGTGTTGTGAGTCGGCAGGTGTGTTGTGAGTCGGCAGGTGTGTTGTGAGCCGGCAGGTGTGTTGTGAGTCGGCAGGTGTGTTGTGAGCCGGCAGGTGTGTTGTGAGCCGGCAGGTGTGTTGTGAGTCGGCAGGTGTGTTGTGAGCCGGCAGGTGTGTTGTGAGCCGGCAGGTGTGTTGTGAGCCGGCAGGTGTGTTGTGAGTCGGCAGGTGTGTTGTGAGTCGGCAGGTGTGTTGTGAGTCGGCAGGTGTGTTGTGAGCCGGCAGGTGTGTTGTGAGTCGGCAGGTGTGTTGTGAGTCGGCAGGTGTGTTGTGAGTCGGCAGGTGTGTTGTGAGTCGGCAGGTGTGTTGTGAGTCGGCAGGTGTGTTGTGAGTCGGCAGGTGTGTTGTGAGTCGGCAGGTGTGTTGTGAGTCGGCAGGTGTGTTGTGAGTCGGCAGGTGTGTTGTGAGTCGGCAGGTGTGTTGTGAGTCGGCAGGTGTGTGTGAGTCGGCAGGTGTGTTGTGAGTCGGCAGGTGTGTTGTGAGCCGGCAGGTGTGTTGTGAGTCGGCAGGTGTGTTGTGAGTCGGCAGGTGTGTTGTGAGTCGGCAGGTGTGTTGTGAGTCGGCAGGTGTGTTGTGAGCCGGCAGGTGTGTTGTGAGTCGGCAGGTGTGTTGTGAGTCGGCAGGTGTGTTGTGAGTCGGCAGGTGTGTTGTGAGTCGGCAGGTGTGTTGTGAGTCGGCAGGTGTGTTGTGAGTCGGCAGGTGTGTTGTGAGTCGGCAGGTGTGTTGTGAGTCGGCAGGTGTGTTGTGAGCCGGCAGGTGTGTTGTGAGCCGGCAGGTGTGTTGTGAACCGGCAGGTGTGTTGTGAGCCGGCAGGTGTGTTGTGAGTCGGCAGGTGTGTTGTGAGCAGGTGTGTTTTGAGCCGGCAGGTGTGTTGTGAGCCGGCAGGTGTGTTGTGAGTCGGCAGGTGTGTTGTGAGTCGGCAGGTGTGTTGTGAGTCGGCAGGTGTGTTGTGAGCCGGCAGGTGTGTTGTGAGTCGGCAGGTGTGTTGTGAGTCGGCAGGTGTGTGTGAGTCGGCAGGTGTGTTGTGAGTCGGCAGGTGTGTTGTGAGTCGGCAGGTGTGTTGTGAGTCGGCAGGTGTGTTGTGAGTCGGCAGGTGTGTTGTGAGCCGGCAGGTGTGTTGTGAGCCGGCAGGTGTGTTGTGAGCCGGCAGGTGTGTTGTGAGCCGGCAGGTGTGTTGTGAGTCGGCAGGTGTGTTGTGAGCAGGTGTGTTTTGAGCCGGCAGGTGTGTTGTGAGCCGGCAGGTGTGTTGTGAGTCGGCAGGTGTGTTGTGAGTCGGCAGGTGTGTTGTGAGTCGGCAGGTGTGTTGTGAGCCGGCAGGTGTGTTGTGAGTCGGCAGGTGTGTTGTGAGTCGGCAGGTGTGTTGTGAGTCGGCAGGTGTGTTGTGAGTCGGCAGGTGTGTTGTGAGTCGGCAGGTGTGTTGTGAGTCGGCAGGTGTGTTGTGAGTCGGCAGGTGTGTTGTGAGTCGGCAGGTGTGTTGTGAGTCGGCAGGTGTGTTGTGAGCAGGTGTGTTTTGAGCGGCAGGTGTGTTGTGAGCCGGCAGGTGTGTTGTGAGTCGGCAGGTGTGTTGTGAGTCGGCAGGTGTGTTGTGAGTCGGCAGGTGTGTTGTGAGCCGGCAGGTGTGTTGTGAGTCGGCAGGTGTGTTGTGAGTCGGCAGGTGTGTTGTGAGTCGGCAGGTGTGTTGTGAGTCGGCAGGTGTGTTGTGAGTCGGCAGGTGTGTTGTGAGTCGGCAGGTGTGTTGTGAGTCGGCAGGTGTGTTGTGAGTCGGCAGGTGTGTTGTGAGTCGGCAGGTGTGTTGTGAGTCGGCAGGTGTGTTGTGAGCCGGCAGGTGTGTTGTGAGTCGGCAGGTGTGTTGTGAGTCGGCAGGTGTGTTGTGAGCCGGCAGGTGTGTTGTGAGTCGGCAGGTGTGTTGTGAGTCGGCAGGTGTGTTGTGAGCAGGTGTGTTTTGAGCCGGCAGGTGTGTTGTGAGCCGGCAGGTGTGTTGTGAGTCGGCAGGTGTGTTGTGAGTCGGCAGGTGTGTTGTGAGTCGGCAGGTGTGTTGTGAGTCGGCAGGTGTGTTGTGAGTCGGCAGGTGTGTTGTGAGTCGGCAGGTGTGTTGTGAGTCGGCAGGTGTGTTGTGAGTCGGCAGGTGTGTTGTGAGTCGGCAGGTGTGTTGTGAGTCGGCAGGTGTGTTGTGAGTCGGCAGGTGTGTTGTGAGTCGGCAGGTGTGTTGTGAGTCGGCAGGTGTGTTGTGAGTCGGCAGGTGTGTTGTGAATCGGCAGGTGTGTTGTGAGTCGGCAGGTGTGTTGTGAGTCGGCAGGTGTGTTGTGAGTCGGCAGGTGTGTTGTGAGTCGGCAGGTGTGTTGTGAGTCGGCAGGTGTGTTGTGAGTCGGCAGGTGTGTTGTGAGTCGGCAGGTGTGTTGTGAGTCGGCAGGTGTGTTGTGAGTCGGCAGGTGTGTTGTGAGTCGGCAGGTGTGTTGTGAGTCGGCAGGTGTGTTGTGAGTCGGCAGGTGTGTTGTGAGTCGGCAGGTGTGTTGTGAGTCGGCAGGTGTGTTGTGAGTCGGCAGGTGTGTTGTGAGTCGGCAGGTGTGTTGTGAGTCGGCAGGTGTGTTGTGAGTCGGCAGGTGTGTTGTGAGTCGACAGGTATGCACTGAGGCCCCCATTCCTAGCTGCACTCCCTGCCCCCTTCCTTTTGCCTACCTCCTCCTCCTCCACTTCATCCTCCTCCTCCTCCTCCTCCTCCTCCTCCTCCTCCTCCTCCTCCTCCTCCTCCTCCTCCTCCTCCTCCTCCTCCTCCTCCACCCACCCACAGTGCTAGTGGAGGGGGACCAGGTAGTATTTTTCTCTGCACTTCGCCCCTCTCACCCACCCCACCATCCTCGAGCAAGCCACCCTCCACCTCCGCTCCCCCCACTCCCTCTTAGCAGTGGGGAAGCAGGTTTGAATGATCAACCTGGAGATTCTTTTCGATTCCTCCCTTTTCATTGCTCCCAAACCACACACCAAGCCATTCCACTCCCTGCTATCCCTCTTCACCCCCTCCTCCCCCTCCTCCCCTCCCTTCCCCCTTCCCCTTTCCTCCCTCTCTCCCCCGTCCCCCCCACTGTCAGGACTGATTCCACTCCTTCCACCCACAGGCATTCTCTTTCTCCAGTTGAGGACTACATGGCCAACCCACACCGAGCCACACCACCAGCCCCTCTCAACACACCCCAGTCCCCTTCATCCACTCCCACCCCCCCGTCCCCTCCCCCCTTCAGGACTGGTTCCGCTCCTTCCACCCCCAGGCCTTCCTTTTCCTGCGGTTCGAGGACTACATGGCCAACCCCCGCCCGCACATCACCCAAACCCTCGACTTCCTCGGCTTCCCCGCTGCTGACGTGGCGGAGGAGCAGTGGGCGGGGATCGTCGACCTGGAGCGCGTGGAGCAGCGGCCGGAGGGCATGGTGAGGGAGGAGCTGGATGGGGTCACACGGGAGTACCTGGAGGCGTTCTTCGCGCCTTTCAATGCAGATCTGGTGCGGTTGCTGCGTGATGAGAAGTATTCGTGGAAGAGAGGGCAGAGGTGATAGGGGACGGGTGGAGAGGAGAGAAAAAAAGGGGGAGAAGGGGGGGGGGGGTGGTGGGGATGGGGAGAGGGGGGTTAGGGAGGTAAGGAGGTGGGGGTGAGGGGAGTAATGTGCCGAAGTGTTTTATTGGCACAGAGTGTGGGTGGGTGGGTGGATGGGTGAGAGGCTTAGGAAGTTGGTCAATGACTCTGACTGGACGGCTTCATACACATTTTAGTTGTTGTACTGTACAGAAGTGCAACTGTTACTAGGCCTTTAAGCTGATGGAAGGCGTATCTTGTAAGAGGGAGTCGACAAAGCACGTTGATACGGTATCATTGATTGTCCTGTCAAGATAAGCTTAGCCTAGGTTTAGGAGAAACCTAGGCTAGGTACAAGCGGAAGCGAGATGACGAGAAGGTTGGCCAAAGAGGATTGCATTATGGAGCGACAAGTACAAATAGGAACAAGAAGCAAGATGGGTGTACCACCAACAAGGGTTACTTGATATAACTACAGCTACAGAAAATTATAGATATATATTATGACATGTCCACCCGCCCCCTTCGACCTTTCTCTAAAAGTATTCCGTTCTTGCCGAGGAGCGGGAGCAAGAACGATCGACTTCTCGCCCACCGAACTAGATGGGTCTAGGCGAAATTTTATGAAATTTCAGAAGTTTATTCATGCAACGTACGTAGGTAGATTTGGCGTACCACAGATTCGAAGATTGCTGAATACGTATTAAAATATGTTCCTCGCGAAGATGCTGAAGAACAAAGAATTGGCTTATGTTGAAGAGATTTCAAATGATGTGCTACCTCTGACCCAATCCAATCCGGCCTCCTGTCGCAAGCGGAGTTACAGTAGCGGTGCAGGGTTAACGACGCTGGTAAGGTTAACTCTCATAATTCCAGCGACTAACCACTGGGAAAAAAAGGCTTGTTTTTTAACAGACGAGTGCAAACATAACCCCCCAGGCTAGAGTCTCTGTATCCCTTCTCGAGGATCAATGTGGCATCCCCAGAGCAGGTCTTGCAACACCCCCCCCCCTCGCTGGGATGCCCTGGGACACGGCAACAGCAGGATCAAAAGTGGCACCAACATGCGCACACATGCGAACTTGAATCAGAAGCCTTCCACTCTAGTACTATGACAGTACGCCGTCCGTGTCCGTTTCTGCACAGCAGCACAGGATAGGATTGCGTGCATCGTACTTTACTATTTTCTCGATTTATCTCGCGTTAGCTAGAGTGCGCGTGATTATTCACCGAATGCGTCTACCGAATTCGGGAAGGCTATATACCCTTCAGTTCTAGATCCTCGGTACCCTATGGCCCCGGATATAGGCGCCGTCCAATTAAAGGCGCTGGCGCTTCTATCTGGAGCATGGCGCCTATGGCCGGAATTCGATTATAAGCGCCCCCCCTAGAAAACCTTTACTTATTATAAGCGCATATGCGATTTGAATTTAAATTCGTGCCTAAAACCGTAACGAAATCAATTTTTGCAGCGAGTCAGATTTCAATTTCGCTTGGTTTGACTCGCGAAGACCTGACTGGCTGCGCGTCCAGTCAGGATGTGCTGGCATGACGTGGCTTTGCCTGTGTGTGAACCCAGAATATCGCTTGCGCGAGATTCTGCATTGTGACGCAATAACATTTCGACTCGGTTGAAATGGCAAGAAGGAAATGAACAATTTGGTGCTCTAAATATATAATTTCGTATTTGTCATTATATAAGCGCCGGCGCTTATGGCCTTCACTCAATTACAAGCGCCCCCCCTCAAAAAAATGAATTTATTATAAGCGCATATGCGCTTATATCCGGGGTGATACGGTACCTTTTAGTAACACCATTTTTGTTGGAAACAATCGGTCCTAAGCGCCTCTGTCGTGTCAAAACACTAAGACACAAAAGAAACGAAGTATAACGAATCACCGGCGAGTCAACCCTCGGAGGTTGAGGTAACTGCTGGAGGTTACGCGAAAGTCAAAGGTCAGCGACCTTTGACCTGACAAGTACAGCGCGACAGCAAGGACATACAACTGACTCGCTACAGAGCAGGCCCCAAAATGTCAGGGTAAAATACCCTGATTGCCCTGACTGGCGGCCGCTTTTTTTGGGGTTACCCTGACCCAGTCAGGCTCCCGGATTTCTTACCCTGACTGATAAAGAGTTTGATTTTTTGTACCCTTATGAAATCCGAGCTATAGATTGTTTCCCCTGACTTTCATCAGTGTTTTAATCCTGTTACACTGATACCGAGTCTTTCGTAGCGAGGATATGGTGGATGTTGCGCAAAATGGCGCCAGCAAATAGTTTCACACCATTTTGGCCCTGTAAAACATTTATAACAGTATCCTTTCATATTCCTTGTACTCTTATATAATCTTGTATCTCTTTGTTTTAATCAACTTACTTTGCCCTCACATACTAGCGCAAGGTGGTTCACAACTCTTTAATTAACGCTTCCGCTACTACACCAACTCTACCCAGAGTTCACCCCTGCAAAGATCCTAAGGGCTTTTCAGCCCAACATGGTATGAGAGCTATCAGGGGGAATTCAACTTCTATACCGACAACATCAACAGGCATGGCTACACAAAAGGAAAGGAGCAACTCCAACGGCTCCCAGGGCACTATTCCTACTCCACCTCCTGCCTCTGGCCTACAGACAGAGGAGGGCACGACAACGAGACCCAGAGCAACATCTACCGAGACTCCCGTGAATCAACCTGCAGACTTCGACCAGAGCATGATGGAGAAGTTTTTCTCCTTCATGTCCTTCTACGAGCAACATCAGCAATCGGCACCTGCGCAGTCACACAACAGCAACAACAACGGAGCAACACCCATGAGTCTCGACGGCTCATCATACGCACGAGGAAATCAACAACAGCAACCTACCTTTGCTCCGTACGAGCGCGGGTCCATCAGCTTTATGCCACACCCACAGCCTTTACCTGGACAAGAAAAATCACTGGACGCATTACAAGTTCAGTCGCAGTTCGCACACGTTCTGAAGATGCAGACGTCAAGACCCTTCGATGGAAAGGATTTCTTCACCTGGTCGTTCGAGTTCGAGCTGATGATGGAAGGCGCGCAGATACTCGGGTTCTTCGACGGATCTCTGCCATACCCAACAAACGGCACGCAGTACGAGAAGCAGCAGTACACCTATCAGTCAATGATGGCGTACACGATCCTACTGAGGAATATCACCCCGACTCAACAGCAGAACATAAGGTCTTACCGAGGTTACGGCAACTCCGCGGAGCTCGCGTACAACCACCTGAAGAGCCTGTATCAAGCAACAGACAGCGTAAGCCAAAGTCGGTTAATGGCGCAACTGACAACGGTTGAAATGAAACCAGGGGAGAAAGGAATGGCATATATCAGTCGATGTCGCGAGTTGCGCGACAAGCTTCTTCGATGCGGAGGGTCGATTTCTGAAGACGCCTTCGTGACAGTCATTATCGGCGGCCTCGGTCCTCAATGGCGCGCCACAAAGGCCATTCTCCGAGCTCACGGAAGAATCTCCAAAGCAGCGCTCTGCGCCGAAATCCACGCCGAGCAGCAAGACATGGACCTGCAAGAAGAACGACACAAAAAGAAGACATCAGCACCGGAATTCGCGTTCCACACTCGGCGACGCTACAACAACAACAACAACCGGCAGCAACAACCGAAGCCAGTACCTCCGTTCTGCCACATCTGCAAAACTTCAGGACACCCGCGTACGCACTGCCCGAATCGTCAACAGTCAACAACTCCACAGCGGCAACTTCGACCTTCAAGCAGCCAAATCGCCTCAACGCAAGCAAATCCCACGACCCAGATTCAAGCCTCAACGACTTCAACGGGACAACCTGCACAAGGAGCAAGAAACATCGTCAGCTGCATGGCAAAGCTGAGTGACTCCTGCATCACCGAGTCACCACCACACTACTCACCGGAAGAACAACTCGACGAAACCTTACCCCGCCGCGAGTCACTTCAGCCGAACCCGACATACGCCGCCATCGCCCAAAGCGAACCATCCGGAAAGGACACATGGTTCTTGGACAGTTGCTGCGGACAGCACATGTGCTCCTCGGGACGCTTCGTTCAACGAGAACACCAACTTCAACGCGAAGTTGTCATTACAGTCGCCAACAATCAGAACCTGCGAACACGACGACAAGGCGTAGTTCAACTTCAGTCAAGGGAAACAAACGTCATACTGCAGATGTCAAAAGTACTAATCGCGGAGGGACTCGGCTACAACTTACTCAGCGTCAGTCAGCTAATGGCGAAAGGGATTCACCTCGAAGCAGACAGCACCACCTAAGAATTCAAGCTGTATCACGGGAGAGGAGAACTTTACATCGGCAAGGCGGTCCTCAAGAACAACGTCTTCGTTCTTGACTTCGTTCCTGATCTCGGCACCGCCGACAGCGACGCCATCGTTAACTTCACCAACTGGACACACCCTCCAGACCTTGATCCAGACTTCAGTCCAGAAGGCTTCTGGTATTCACACACCATCCCTGAAGCAGAAAGAACAAGGGCGTTAGCAACAATTCAGACAACATCGACAGCAGCAGAGACAACATCGACAGCAGCAGAGACAACATCGACAGCAGCAGAGACAACATCGACAGCAGCAGAGACAACATCGGCAGCAGCAGAACCATCAACGGCAGCAGCAGGAGCGTCAACACCAATTGCTGGTCCTTCAACGACACCACTCCTCATCGACGACACACCACCGACACCCTCGCAACAACTACACCCAGCACCACGAGAAGTTCATCGCAGCGCCAACTTCACCACCAACTTCTACTCCAACTCCGATATGTACCGACGATCACCCGGACATCGCGCCGACGAAAGCACCTGGCACGCAAGGATGGGACACCCAAGCAACACAGTATTAAACAATACGATAAGAGCAGGAGTACTCGACAAGGACTCACTCCTACTGACCGACGGACGAGAACTTCAACGAGTACGCGGAACGTGCCTCACCTGCCCTG